ACCTGATGATATCTTTATTAGTTTGGAAAATTTGGTCTCCTTCTTTGCCTGTTGTAAAAGAAATGCAGATCTGGGAATGTAGCTCAGCAATAGAACATATGCTTAACATGTGTGAGATTCTAGGTTCAATCTCAGCACTGCAAAAATAACCCAAACAACCCCGCAACAGAAACTTCCAAATCAGAGGCATCTTGTCATTAAAATATTTGTTAAGGCCTGTTTTTCCCTTTGGTCTGGTGTTTGCTTTGTGCTATATACATCTAGTTCGTAGCATATTTTTAGATTACAAGCTATCCCCTCTAGAAATAAAGGCTCCTTTTGAATAGTTTTTGATAACTGGGACATAAATATGCTTTTGGATGTGATTATCAGTTAGAATCATGTAATTTTTAAAGCTACAAAGGATAGTAAAAACGTGGTCCAATGTACACTTTCTTACAGATTGTGGACAGATGGGTTTCCCAAGAACATACAGTCGGGAACAGAACTTAAATCTCAGATCCTCAGGATACAGATTTTCTTTCTTTTTTTTTTTAATCACGGTAAAATCCATGTAATGTAAAAATCCCAAGATAGGAACTTTTCTGTTGTGTTGTTTCTAAAATCGACTTTAGCTTTTTAGTAATCTGATGTATGTAATCTTTTAACTAATCATTTTACTATAATTAAGTTTCAGAGAAATGTGTGAATTTCACTTCTGCAGCTTATGTTTAAATGTGTAATTTCATTAAAAACTTCTCTAATTACAAGATTTACTCTACTTCTGAAACATTGAATTCAGTAAATGTCAGATATAATTAGGTCCCTGGTATTGATATCAAGAGATAAAGACAAAAGACATTTTAGATAATTTTTAATTTATGCCTTCTAAGCGGTTGAGACAAGAATAGTTGGTGTGCCCAGTGTAGGGGTGCATGCCTGTAATTCCAGCATTTGAGAGGCTGAGGCAGGAAGATCGCCGTGAGTTTGAGGCCAGCCTGAACTACATAGTGAGTTCAGGGTCAGCCTGACTACACAGCAAGACCTGGTCTCAAAACAAAAACAAAAACAAAAAAGAAACAGATCTTTAGGTTAGAGATCTTTAGGTTAGAAGATCTGTCATCATCAAATAGAATTAAAATATGAAGTGAGTAAATGTTCTCACCTTTCCATCTAGACACGTGATTATGCTGTAGCTTAGCTGACATTTCTTTGATTTTTATGACCTGGTTTAGAATTAGGTGACAGAAATGTTATCTGTAGTGTTTCATCCTTGGTTTAAAGATTTAACTTCTAAAGTTGGCTTATATTACAACTGAAAGCGATAAATGAGGCACCACAGAAATATTGTTTTACTGTTGGATATAATACTAATTCCATGGGAGACCGCATCTTAAATTACCTTATGTTACCAGTTCTATCTAGAATTGCTATTTTTATTGACTTTTAAAAAGTCATTTCCCATTTCTCTGTGTGTATGTAAAGATGGCTGGATAGATGGATGGAAAGACAGGTACAGAATGACATGATGTATGCAGTTTACTCTCAAACTGTGTGTATTTCCAAAGAAGAAGATGTTCTGTTTGGTGTGTACCTCCTAAGAAAAAGTGTATATTATGTTTACTCTCACGATATGTTTGTCAGATGGATGCTTATCAAATGGTGATTTTCCTGAAGAAGAGAATTTTTACTCACTGTGTTCTATTAATGTTTAAAGTATTACAAAGTGTACCAGTGGGGTCACTTCAGGTGTCTCACATATTTTTTAAATATCCCCATCCATTTTTGAGTGCCTGCTTTCTTGCTTTGCTTTGCTTTTTTCTTAGCACAGAAAGATGCTCTGGGCTTACTTCACAATTTTCTTTCTCTAGACCTGATTTCAACTATTTTTCTTAAGAGGCCCTAGTTTCTTTTAGTGAAAGATAGTATTTGGAATTTCAGATCTAAATGCTAGATGTGCTCATTGGTGCTGAGATGTCCTTGCTCCAAGTCCTTTCAATAAAAAAACTTGGAAATCTCTTTTGTTAAAGATTTCTTTTTTAGAAGGTTCATATTAAGTCCTCCAGTTCAAATACCACACCACAGTGTTCTTCTGTGCCTTTCCCAGTTTCCTGTTTTGATATTGAGTGCCCGATCCCCTCTTTGAGGGCTCCATTGTGATTATGCCAGTGTCCCCATGCCCTTCCCAACACAGTGTGCGTTATCCTGCATCGAATGTTGGCCAGTCTGGAATGTAAGATACAGTGTTTCTAAGTAGTTTCACAGTTTCTCTTACTCTGAGTGGATCTAAACATTTCTTTTTTCATGTGTAAGGACAATTGGATATGTTGTGTGTGTAAGCCTTTAGTCCATTTTTCTACCATTTTTGATCGTCTTTTCCCTGATTTAAAAATCCTAGCTAGCTCTGAAGCCTCAGACCTGTAATCTCAGCATTTGAGCAACTGAGGCAGGAGTATCCTGAGTCCTAAGCCAACCTGAGCTATGTAACATGTCCCTGTCTCAAAAAAGAAACTTGTTTTTTAACGTATTGATAGTTTTGTCTCCCTAATAAATAAAGAACTCAAACTTCTCAAGATACTTTTTCAGATGTTTTCTTTATCTTTATTATCTTTTCATTTGGCTTATAGCGTCTGTGTGATTATTAATTTTTTAAAAATTTGTGGTGTTTTCTTCATACAAGTTTTTATCCTTTTTCTTTTTGCATTGCATCTGGATTTTTATCATAGTCAGAAAGCATATGCTATACTTAGATTATAAATGCACTCACACATATTTTCTTTTCTTTTCTTTTTTTTTTTTTGTGCTGGGGATTGAACTCACACCTTGTGCTTGTCAGGCAGGCGCTTATGCCACTGAGCTAAATCCCCAGCCCTCTCACACATAATTTGCAAGTATTTTTGGTTTCCATTTTTACAATTAAACCTTTTAACTATTTGGGATTTTCTTGGTTTAAGGTATAAGATACAGATCCATTGTAATCTTTTCACAAGTAACAGTCCAGTTGTTTGGATAGCCATGTAAACATCTGTTTTGTTCCGAGGTTTTCTGCTCTTTTCAGTTGCTTGGTATATCTAGACAGGGTAGTTAGTATGAAAATACAGTATGTTCTGAGTATGTCAGTGATCCACCAATAGTACTTGGTGAGGGTGTGTGACCCTCGGAGGTTCTTTGAACATTTTTTCCCCAGATGCTGGGGATCACACCCAGGGCTTCACACATGATGCATTAGCACTGAGCAAACGCCCAGCTCTAACACTGTTTGTGGTAATGTGTTGGTTTACGTGTAGGATTACTGCAGACTCAGAGTCTCAGAGCCAGTAATAACCTCTCCTGTGGTTGTCCCAGAAGAAGGGAATGAGCGAAAGACTAGAGCTTTCTGACTGCTCAGCTAATCTGAAGCATCACTGTTTCTACAAGTTTTATTTTGTGTAGTTCCTGAAGAAATGTGGTATGAAATAATACCTGAAGTTTAACTTGAAAACTAAATCAACTTGGCATATAACATACATCTGTAATCCCAGCAGTTTGGAAGGTTGAGGTGGGTGAATTGTAAGAGAAGATCATGAGTTTAAAGCAGCCTGGGCCACATAGTGAGACCTCATCTCAAACTTTAAAAAGCACATAAATCACCTAACATGTACCTGAAGCACCAAAACAAAATACCATATACTCACTGACTGATGTGGTGTGAAAATGTGTTTAATCCCTATAAATGAAGATGGAACAGTATCATAAACCCTTGGGAGCACCTGGGAATGGGCAAATCTGGGAGTGGGTGCCGTCAAACTTGGCAGTGCTGCTGCTGATAAAGATGGCAAAAGTCTAGGAGGCACTCAAGGTGCTGGCTTGAGAACTGGATTAGGCAGGGGTCATGTGATAAGATCACGTGGGCAGGGCTGCTGGGGAAGGTGCTGGCTGTTCTTTATCGTCCAGATCCTCCTCCCCTTACTGGACTCTAAGGCTCTGAGCCTTCTTATCCTTTTTCCTGGTCATTGTCAGAAATGGCTGTGTAGACCCACCATGTTCACAGAAAACATGGAACACTTCCTGTGTTTTTCCATATTAGATTACTAATCATAAGACAACTGGTGGAGTTGTGAAGTAGGTACATTCTGCTAGCTAGAGTTTGAAATCATGTCAAGTGAATTATTCTTTTTTGCTGTTGTTACTAGTAAACCAGCAGCTGCTGTGTTGTGCTCTCGTCTAGTCACTGCTGTTGCATAACTGCTGACTTTATTCTCTCTGGTGCTTTGAGAAACCACTTACGCCCTCCCCTCCAAGTCTTTCTTAACTACTTCCTCCAGAATTTTATGAGCATATGTAAGAGCAAATCAATTTTACTCATTAATTGTATCCAGCACTATCGTCTTTAAAAATAAATTTATAGGAAATAAATAAAATCACCTGTAGGCCTATGATGAGAGACAAATTCTGTTAATTGGTGTTTCTTTTCCAGTTTTCTTCCTTCCTTATATGATTTTACACTATTGAGAACACAGTGTGTGTGTGTGTGTGTGTGTGTGTGTATGATACTGTATCCTATTTTCTCCCTTAACTGTATTGTAAACTAGAGTTAGGTGAGTTGTAGTTTATCTACATCATCCCCCTACCTACTGCAGTGGCTGTGGAGAATTTTATATATAGTGGTTACTAAATAATCGGTTTTGCTTGTGTGTCAAGTGTTTTCTCTTTGGAAGTTATGGGGATATTTTCTAAGGGGCTTCCAAAATGTAGTATTTGCAGCTACCCAGAGTTTCTACAGGTCTCAGATCCCTATCTAGAAAAAAGAGACTGGGGGCATCTTTGTGTATTTATATCATACGGAGATCTTGAATTTTATGGGAAATATTTTAGTGAGTATGTATTTATTTTTCTGTAGTTTCAATAGGGAGTTGAAGGATTCCTTTTCCAAAAGACTTATTTCATCCATCTAATGACCATAACTCATTTGAGATCTATTTACTAATCTTACTAAAATATGAGACTATGCCATTTTACCTTTTAGTTTTCTTGTATTTTAGGAAGGGATGAGACCATACAGCCTGCAAAACCATCTTTCCTTGAATACTTTGAACAAAAAGAAAAGGAAAATCAGATCAACAGCTTTGGCAAGAGTGTACCTGACCCCCTGAGAAATTCTTCAGACTGGAAAGTACCGCAGGATGGAGACTATGAGTTTGTGAGTAATACTGAAGTGAAATGGTTATGTCTTCTGGAGAAGTTATTTGAAATATGTATGGCGCATCCAGTTCTGTCATTTCACTGGAAGTACTTGAGCATTTAAGCGTTTTCTTGTACAGTTTGAGTCTTCTGTTAACTGCTCCTGCTGCGGCTCTGGGCAGACCCACAATTTATTGACGACATTTTACTAACACCAGAGAAATTCTCACCTCCTGATTAATGACATGTTTTTACTTTATAAATCCTTTATTTACTTGCCATTTTTCTATTTGTCTAGTTTGAAATTGATAGTGGTAACAGAAATGAAGAAAAGAAATGTCAAATGAAGCTGCATTTGTCTTTAACAGTTTATTTGGGATAATGATTTTATACTTAAGAATTAGATTGAAGAGGAGTTGATACTTGTGACTTTGTTCTTTTGCTAATCAGTCTCTTCCTGAAGATTATTTGCTGTCTTTTAGAGGATGAATATTAAATTATTCCAAAGTTTCTTTTTTTATAAATCCAAATTTGTTTTTTAAAAATTTTAATGACATTAATATATTGAGCACATATTAATTAAACAGTGTATATAGTGAGATTATTAAACTGAACATGCAACAAATTAATAAGATAACCTGGATGGTCTGAAGGTGGAGTGACCATTGTTAAAGTGATTAAGGCCTAGAGAGCCAGTAATTCAGGGAGGAGGAGAAGAAACCTATTCCAGCATTTCTTATGAAAAATTGTGTGTTTTTACTTTCTGTGCTGTGGAATATTCTCTGTCAAACTCAGATACTTAGTAATATTCACAGGGATTTAATGAATGAAGACAATAAATATTTTTTTTAAAAGTAAGCTGAAGTTCATATTCCTTTTGTGAATATTTCTAGAAAAGTTTTTTTCCTTGAGGAGTTTTTTATTTTTACAGTCTTAAATTCTAATGTTTGGAATTCAGCTGTTAGAGTTCTGCTGTTATTTCCTAAAAGAGTTAGTTTGAGCATTGGTTTGGAACACGGGAGGCCTTTTATTTATTTATTTTTTTATTTTTAAATTTTTTTTGGTCTTTTTCCTTTTTATCAGTACCGGGGATCGAACTCATGACTGTGTGCTTGCAAGGCAGGCGCTTATGCCGCTGAGCTAAATCCCCAGCTCCATGGGAGGCCTTTTAAATCTGGCTTTCCACTGTTCTCTTGACTGGCCTAGAGGAAGTGATGTCACTCTTCTGTTACTTAATTTGTACTTTCATAGAATACTGTAGGTGATACAACCAAAGATAGAAGTCTTTTGAGGACCAAATGGACTCACCTGAATTTATTTAACTAATTAGTCACTGGAACAATGTTAGAAACCAGGTTCATTTGCTTTATCATCTATTTGCTCCTACATCTTTTTTAGACATTGTTCTGTTAGGGCTATTATGTGCTTTACCCTATTCTAAGGAAAAAGTAAACAGAAGACTAAAAACCCATCCCTTACGGAGGTGTCATCCTAGAAGAAAAGTAAGTGAGATATTTAGTGTATCAGGTGGTGTTAAGTATTGTGAAACATGTTATACATAAAGCAAAAGGAGGCTAAGGGAGGGAGGGGTGGCTTTTTAAAGTAGAGTAGTCAAGGAAGTCCTCATTAGGAAAAGGACAAAGTGAACTGTGTACACATCCTAAGGAAGAGCTCCCTAGGTGGTTAGAATAGCAGATGCAAAGATCTCAAGGCATAGACTTGCTTGATATGTCTGGAATGGCATCAGGAGAATGCAGCAGGAAATGAGATCAGAATATAATGAGAGGCCAGACAGTGCAGGGCTTTTTGTGTAATAAGTAGTCTAGCTTTTACTGTGAGTGGAATGGAAAATCATTGACATTAGGTGACTTAATCTTATTTATATCTTAAAAGTATTTTTCTAATCACTGTGTTGGTGGACTACAGATTTTCCAAACACATTTTTTGTGTTTTTGTCTACTGGAGCATATCCACTGTTATTCCTCTTTTAGGTCTTTGGCATTTATCTGTCCCACTCAGTCAGGACTGGGCTTTGGAAGTCTTTATTTTTATTTATTTATTTATTTTTTGGTGGTACTGGGGATTGAACCTAGGGTCTTATGCCTGTTAATCAAGTGTACCACTGAGCTACAGTCTCTGTATGTATGTATGTGTATATGTATTTATTTATTTATTAGACAAGGTCTAGATAATTTGCCTAGGCCTTAAATTTGTAATCGTTCTGTCTCAGCTTCTTGAGTTGCTGGCATAGACTTGTGCTACTACGCCTGGCATAGACTTGCTTGATATGTCTGGAATGGTATTAGGAGAATGCAGCAGGAAATGAGCTCAGAATATAATGGGAAACCAGACAGTGTAGGACTTTTTGTGTAATAAGGAGTCTAGCTTTTACTCTGAGTAGAATGGAAAACCATTGGGATGAGGTGACTTAATCTTATTTATATAAAAACCTTAACATGGTACTCTGGGATGTTATTGTTAATCAGACTAGACATGAACCTTGAATTACTGTGCTTGCTATTCTTTGTTGTCTGTGTAGTTGTAAAATGTGATTTTCTCAGTTTAGTGAATTTTTAGGCAAAGATGTTTAAATAATTTACACTTAACAAATCACATCACCAGGTTTGGTAGAACGCTTAAGAATCCTCAGGTCTATTACTCACGTGATGTAGCTTTCTTCTCGTCTTTTTGAAAACAGTGTTATAAAAGTTAGTGATCCTGAAATCCTAATCATGTTAGTGCTAGTCATTCTTCTTAGATCAATAGTTGCAGGGTATGAAGAGTTAATTTCTCTTTCCTCACTAAGATCATTTGCGCAGAACTTGTTTTGATGGAAAAACTGCTTATAAAAGGGGGGCTTTGTTTTATAGGTCTTAGAAAGGACTTTCAATTTTGGACGTAGGTGATTACTATAGGAAGTGGTCCCCGAGCAAAGTGCATAGTTAGCACATTGCCCAACTTGTATTCCTTCTGAGATTTTCTTCTAACGTAGAGGACATAAACTGGCATCATGCAGCTCACAGACCTTTCTGTGTGTTGCGTACAGGGTTGAGATTTTTAAAAATTAGTTGCCTATATTTAAAACTTCAGAGATTTTACATGAAGTGCCAGATCTTCAGTTTATCTTCAAAACATGGGAGTTAGGGCTGTGATAGACCTACCTTATTAATTGGATGATGGTTGTCTGCAACTGAGTATCATTTGGCCTGTTTAACATGGCCTCTCCAGTGCTCCATGTTAACCTGGCCTACTTCACTCACTGTCTGACCTGTCTCTCACCTAGAGATATTTGATATTAGAACTCTTGCTCCAAATCATTTGGATTTATATATATCTGAGTCAAACCATGCAGATACATTTTTGTTTTCATAATTTAAAGACAGTTTTTTTTTTTTAACATGTTAAGAGCATTTCAAGCTAAACAATGGAAAAGGCTTGAAGTGGGATACATAAGAACTGCCAATCAAAAGGTGACAGCAAATGAAAATTATTTCTTATGCCTTTATATTCTTGACATAAAGCTCTCACCTTAACCCCAATGCAAGTATGGAAATGATAGTCTACAAGGACAGTCCTAAAAGTGCCCCCCAGACCATCTGGAAACGTGTAGTAATTATAATTTCTCAGACTCTGCCCCAGACCTACTGAATCTCTGGAGAAAACACCCAGTGGTATTTTTGTCTGCCTACCTGTTGACTCTAACCCATGAAAGTCTATCTAAAAGATTTTTAGAATGCATTCTGCCTTCATATAAGCTTCTTTTTTTTTTTCTGCTAGTACTATAGATATGCAGAGAAAAGAATGTGTTCATATTTCTTAACATTGTATGATTATTAAATTGATTTTTTACTTCTTTTAAGCCTCCTAATTCTTATCACAGGTACTGATGAAGTGCCAAAAATATGAAAAAATGTATGTCTGTAAATCACATTGGAAAAGAAAGAACTCATCCATTGGAGAAAGTTCTAAATAATCTCCTTAAGATTAATGAGGATATGTGTCAGACTAGCTAGCATATCCCCTTAACGGCCTCATAGAACAGAACAGATTTTCTGATTCCAGACATGCAGTATTTTAACTATGAAAACAGATACTCTCTTTCCTCTTGAGAAGGCAGTTGTTATTTTGAAATAAACTTGAAATAATTTAATCATAGTGGCAGAATTTGATACTGACAAAAGATGCATATTTTCGTGAAACTGAATATTTGTCCCATTTCTAAAATTGAATTATTTCCCAAGTTGAAAAAACAAAAACTCAGACTCTCCTAATGTTTGAGATATGTAGTGATTAAAGTGAAAAAGGGTGCTTGAAAATACAGCATTCTCTAAAATTGATTTCATATTTAATAAACATCACATTTTTAGAAAATAATAATACTTTTATGAGAATTCAGACCATCTCATTTTGTCCATTTCTAATGTCACAAAGAGCTATAAACTTAAATCCAGTTTTGCTTACGAATCTTCAAAAAATAATCTGTGATACTTAAGTTTAAGATAAGTTGCATGTCAGCAATGTTGAACAAGATAGACAAGGCTCAAGGCTTATACATTTAAGAGTTTGTAGTGATGAAAATTGACGTAAGTAATCCAGTAAATACGTCAGTTCAGGCAATAATGACTAGTTTACAAAAGCGTAGTGATGAGATAACATGGGGTAGGCCTGTGGAGAGATGGGGCATTCCACTAAGACAGGAGCAGGTAAGGACAGCAAGCCATAGTGAGGAAGAGAAAACAATCAGTGGCTGAGCAGGACCTACTTGCAGGACCTAGTTGGAATGTGTAAGGCAAGAAAAATACACTGTGACTAGAGCTGAATGACTTTCTAGGACAAGAATCTAAATATAATTGCATCAGTAATCACAGAAAATATTGAGTGCATTCAAATCACCTATTAAAAATAGAAACTTTGGATTAAAAATAACTGTCAAAATTCAGCTAAAAGCTACTTTTAAGAGATATAAAATAAAATATCACCAAATAGTTGAAAACAGAAGAATGGAAAAAAAAATATACT